TATTTCTCCATTTATTAATTTATTTTAATAACTTTTTTTATTCTGAATGAAGATGAGAAGATGAGACTTTAATTCATGTAAATATTTAATTCAACTTAAAGCCAATTATGTACACTTATATAAATTTCTGAAAACGCTATTAAAATATGAAACAAGTAGAGGGGCAATGTATAATTTAATACAATATTATATATTTTCTTTATGCATCTTACATTATAGAAATGATTATTGTGTTATAACAAATGACTAATTAAATTAAAACTAATTAAATACATATTTTTTATGTAAAATAAAAAAATAAAAACAAGATTATTATTATTATTATTTTTATTATTATTATTATTATTAATAACAATATTTTTTTCTTTTTCTTCCCCCCTTCGGCTTGGTCCCTTTGTTTATCAGGGGCTGCTACAGCAAAATGAACCGCCAACTTATCCAGCATATATTTTACACGGATGCTCTTCCAGCTGCAACCCAGTACTGGGAAACACCCATATACACTCATACACAACGGCCATTTTAGTTAAACAATTCCTCTATAGCACATGTGTTTGGACTTTGGGGGAAACCAGAGCACCCGGAGGAAACAGACACCACCACGGGGAGAACATGCAAACTCCACACAGAAATGCCAACTGACCCAGCTGGGACTCAAACCAGCGGCCTTGCTGTGAGGCCACAGTGCTAACCACTGAGCCAGCGTGCCATTATATTATTATTATTATTATTATTAATATTACAAATTATCACCTACAATGTATTATAGCTTTGGAAAGAATCACATACAAAAACTTGTCTGTTATCTTACATTCACTACAGGAAATATTCCTTGGCTCTTTGGTTGTGTAAACAGTGAGTGTGACCTGTGTTATTATCATCAATAAGGAAACCAAAAACTTAAATAATGCATTTTAAAATCACAAAGACAGAGACAAACAATCCCGACCTCACACTGAAGTTTACCACTTAAAATAATTAGCAAAATCCGCAAAGCAAGAGCAAACCAGGACAACAATGCAAATCTACAAATCTAAAAAGAGATTGTGTTTCAAAAGACCTCACAAAACCACAATAGAAGAGTAAACCAAAACCACAGCGGTCTCTCTAATAAAAGCACATCCCTGAGTAAATACAGACGTGTCCAGACATCAGCCTTTACGCCTTTGTGTGTGCGTGTGTCAGACAGAAAACAATGCTTATGACGCAGCAGCAATCTCTCAGTCTAATTATTATTATTATAAAAAACACTGTTAAACACATATTATTCACATTTATGACACAACTGGGACTTCTCAAAGATGACATCATTAAGCTGACTCATGAGGCCCGCCCACTAACACTAGCTCCTCCAATCAGCTCGCTCCGCCCTCAGGAATTCCGGGACATGAGCCAATCAGGAGGCAGCAGCAGCACATTTCTGAGTGAACTGAACTGACCTCATCTATTCATTTTCTCCATTAATCCGCCAAACAGTCTCAATGAGAAATATTTTAAAATATTAAAAATGCTTCAACACTCTCTCTCTCGAAATAAAGGTGTTTTAAGAGTATGCATGAGAGCATGGTCTTTCTCAGCACTTTCATGTGTATACATATGTTTGTTTTTATTTTTGTAACATGGTCAGTAATATGGTTCATTAGGTGTAAAATGTTGCGTTAAATAGCCAGAGATATGTCAATACATTCAAAACTATGTTACGGCAAAACCAGATCAAACATTTTAGGAATATAACTTTTCTATAATAATAAAAACAAAATTATAACACTAAAAGACATCACAGCAATACATAAAATACATAAAAAATAATAATAAATAAATATTATTAATAATAATAATAATTATTATTATTATTATTATTATTATGAAATAATAATAGTAATAATGATAATAATAAAAGATGAAAATCTAAAACCGTTTCTATAAGTTTGTATAATAGTTAAAGACAAATAGGGACATTTTACTGTAAAATGTAATTACTTTAATCACAAATGTAAATACATACATGTATTAAATCAATCATAAGTACAATGTAAAAGCATGTATTTACACAATAAGTGCATTGTAGCAAATTATTAATTTCAGTGTAAGTACATTAAAGGAACCCTATTTTACCCCTTTTACAAGATATAAGATAGGTTTGAGCTCAAAATAGCCATCAGATCATTTATTATACCCTGCTGAATCTGCTAATTTTGGAGCAAAAATACATTGTAGCCGTTTTATCGCCTGTGCCTTTAAATGCAAATGAGTTGGTTCTCCCGCCCACTGCCCCTACATGCTCCATGTTTGTTTCTCCTGCTCCATCACATAAACAGTAGTCAGTGAGGGAGATCGCAATAAAGATGATATATTTATTTCAATATCAAAATATTTAAATATTTTATTTTAATAAATATTTATATTTATTAAAATTGATATTTTATTTGATGTTTTTGTTGTGGAGTTTTTTCAAGCCTTTCTGCATTGACGAGTCACATAAATGCCACTGCAAAGTTCGCAGAACACACACACACACACACACACTCTTTGTTTTTGTACAACGTTGAGGCAAATATGATAGGAAATAAGTTAATATACACTGCTATATCCATTATGCTACTGTGCAAAATAAACCAGATTTAACGTCCACAAACTAGGATGATTGTTGTATGTTTGAAGCATCCACTGACGCAGCTGTACCAAGTCTTTACTTTCCTACTATTCTTTCTGAGTCTATTATTTCTTGCAAACATGCTCCGTCTTAAAAACGCTTTAAACATGTGAAACTCATTCCTGAGGTGCAGCTGGTCAGAGTTGGAACAGATTTTTTACTCAGTTTCTTTGCAAATCCTGTCCTGTGGATATGATTATGTGTGTAACTATGGATGCATGCTAATACACTGCTGTCAATCAATTCAGTGGACAGGGAAACCGCACTCCTACATCATGTCGCGGTGGGCCTCAAAATCGAGGGATTGGGACCCTATTTTAACATCGGGAATTTTTGAAAAAGAGACTTGCTGTGTTTCTATCACTCCAGTATGACAGTGGACACACTATACCACACACAGTTCTGTCCAAACAGCTTACAAAAGATGAATTTCATCATAGGTGCCCTTTAAGATCACCTAATATAATGAGGGACCAAAACAAGTGTAACCAAAATGTAATTTTCCTACTTTGAATGAGTGTGTGTGTGCACGTGTTTTTGTGACATATCAGGACACAAATCTGTGTAATGACATGGGTATAACACAGGTATTACAAAAAGGAGGTGAAATATTAGGACATTGGTGACGTCCTCGTTTCTCAAAATGCTTATAAATCCCACAGGATGAGTTTAATCATCATTTAATGTGTGAGATTGTGTGAGTGTGTGAGTGAGTGTGTGTGTGTGTGTGTGTGTGTGTGTGTGTGTGTGTGTGTACCTGCTCAGAGTGAGCTTGAGAGAGTCGGTGGCGGCTCTGATCTTGTTCTGGGCCTCCACATGGGTCATCTCCTCTGCATTGGCATCAAAGATGGACACCACCCAATCTCCAACACCCACTCCAGCCTGCGCCGCCTTCCCACCTGGAGTCAGCTGAAAAACACACAGAAAAACAACACCAGTCAGTCGGGAAATAAAGAAGCTTCAGGAGACGACATGATAACATTACAAAACACAAATTCAGCAAAATATATGCAGACCACATTTCCCAACTATTAGTCAGAATTATTCGCCCCCTTTTGAATTTTTTTTCCTTTTTTAATATTTCCCAAATGATGTTTAACAGATTCAGGAAATTTTCACAGTATGTCTGATAATGTTTTTTCGTCTGGAGAAAGTCTTATTTGTTTTATTTCGGCTAGAATAAAAGTCGTTTTTAATTTTTTTAAAGACCATTTTTGGGACAAAATTATTAGCAACTATTAGCTAATTTTTTTTCAATAGTCTACAGAACAAACCATCGTTATACAATATCTTACCTAATTACCCTAACCTGCATAGTTAACCTAATTAAGCTGTATAAAAGTGTCTTGAAGAATATCTAGTCAAATATTATTTACTGTCATCATGTCAAAGATAAAATAAATCAGTTATTAGAAATAAGTTTAAACTATTATGTTTAGAAATGTGCTGAAACATTCTTCCCTCCGTTAAACAGAAATTGGGGAAAAAAATAAACAGGGGTGTTAATAATTCAGGGGGGCTAATAATTCTGACTTCAACTGTAGATTGTGTCAAAGCAGCTTCACATAGAGCAGTGGTTCTCAAACTGTGGTACATGTACCACTAGTGGTACGCAGACTTCCTTCTAGTGGTACGTGGAGAAATGAAATATGTCATGTACATGCTACACACATTTCAAAATGTATCAAAAATTATGCATATAATATGTAATATATGACATATAGCCTATATTTCTGAGGTAATCTGCCACGTTTTTTAACTGTGCAGAGTTGTAGCTGCTTAACTGGGCCAACTACGCTACTGTATTTAATGCTGCTCATTTTAATAGTGGTACTTGAAGAGACAATTTTTTTCTGAGGTGGTACTTCATGAAAAAAGTTTGAGAACCACTGACATAGAGGATTATGGTGAATTGAAACAGTGTCAGTTCAGTTTTCAATGTTGAAGTTTAGCTCAGTTCAGTGTGGTTTAATTTTCACCACTGAAAACTAAAACACTGAAGAGCAAATCCATCGATGCACAGCTCCACAAGTCCAAGCAAACTAAAACTTCACCAATTGACAAAAGTGAAGGGAAAAAAAAAAAAAAAAAAAAAAACTTGAGAGAAACCAGGCTCAGTTGGGCACGACTATTTCTCGTCTGGCCAAACTTCCTGTGCAGAGTTGCAGTTTAGATGCTAGATGTGGTTATGTGGTCTGGGGGTATTTGAATTGTATTGTATTGTATTGTATTGTATTGTATTGTATTGTATTGTATTGGTATGGTGTTGGTATTGTATTGGTATTGTATTGGTATTGTATTGGTATTGTATTGGTATTGGTATTGGTATTGGTATTGTATTGGTATTCTATGCTGTTTAATCAATGTGTGAGCTGACATTATGTTGTCAGCACTAGCATATAAATGAGTTATTAAAGTGAAATAAAATCCGTATGTGGGTTTGTTTTTATAAGATATAATATTGTTCAGTAATACATGGTTTTCGCTACATTCATTCTTCCATGGCGGGCGCCACGCCAAAATTGATCCCGCCACGGCTACATTACAGCTTCTCATTTAAAACATTCAGTCCTGTTTTGTTTTTATTTAATAGCGGGTGATAATCACACTAAAGCAAATTAATAGGTAAGTGAATTATAACAGTGCAAACTTTTCTGTTGTGTTCGTAGTATTGCTGTGCGTAATTTGTTTAATCCTTTAAGGTTACATGCTGACTGACTGACAGGTGCGTGATGCGTGAGGCCAGCAAACACAACGTATAGCCATTTTACTTTACTTCAGGACGCATTAATGCCGCTCTGTAGGTCTATTGGAGACATTTATAAATATTCCTAGCAACTCAATAATAAATGTTGGAGACATACTTGTTACATAAACGCACTAAATCGCATTCAGCAGCGTTTATTTGAGAGCGCACAAGAAGATCTGTGCTTGAGCAGCATATATCTTAGAGCGTGCAAGAAGTTTTGTGCACGAGCAGAGGTAATCGGCGTGCAAGCAAAGAGATTTGCATGCTCAAAGGCTATTACATAAATGCGATTTTTTACACTTGGTAGATCAAAAAAATCCAAGAGGAAACACTGATAATATAACACACAATATCCACTTTCACTTTAACAATTAGAAGTGCCATTTTTGCAAATATCAGCACGAAATTATTCTTTATTTTTGAACAAGCAAAACGTTCACATTGAGCTAGCAACATTTTAGATCAGGGGTGTCTAAACTCTCTTGTAGGGTAATCTGTCTTGTAGGGTTGGTGTCCTGCAGATTTTAGCTCCAACTTGCCTCAACACACCAGCAAAGATGTTTTTAGAAAGCCTAGTAAGAGCTTGATTAGCTAGACCAGGTGTGTCGGTTGGAACTAAATTTTGCATGACACCAGCCCTCCAGGAAGAAGTCAGGCACCTGTTTTAGGGCCGTATCATACACCTGGCGCAATGTGTCGCAGGGCGCAGCGCAATAGTCTTTTGCTATTTTAAGCTTGGTGCAAGGGTCATTTTGAGGCGTTGCGCTACGCTGTTTAAATAGCAAATGCATTTGCGCTCATATGTGCGCCCATAGGCGTTCTGGTCTAAAAAAGCAGGCGTGTTTTGGCGCGTTGCTATTTTGAGAAACTGTTAATAGTCTGTTCTTTAGACCAGAACAAAGTCGGTCTATTGTCTGGCGCAAAGTGCGCCTGGCTTACACACTACACACAAGATGCAGAGCAATACGCAAATATCTTTAGATATGAAAAAGATATAATATATTAAGGATATATATATATATATAGGATATAAGAAGGATATATATAGGATATAAATATAAATTATTAAAATATTACAAAACATATTATATTCTAGCCTACATGAATTTTTAAAACCACTGCCGTCATACTATCTTCATCTCGGGAGGCTTTTTCAGTTCATTCAATTTGCTTTTGTTTAATGTTATTATTATTAGCAGTATTATTTATTATATGCATATTTATATTTGTTTTATTAAAGCAAGCTTAGATTTGTCCACCTGTCAGGTTTTACACCATATGGGGCACAGCATGTGTTTTAGGATAGAACTCAGGTTTTTGACTAAGCTTTGTTATTATTGTTCATTTATTCGTTTGCTGGAAATTAGAACTGAATTTAGAAATAGTTTTGAAACAAATATTTGCGCTTAACAAACGAAATTAATTATTTATAGACTAATTGATGTCTGTGCGGTAAGGTTTCCCTATCCACGAGAGCAAAAGTGAAAACTTACTTTATGTCATGTTAATAGCAATGCGCTTATGGCACGACGTAGCTGGCTCTTAAAGGGAATGGGAGATGAGTCTCTGATTGGTTTATTCTCAAAACACACCTATAACTCATTAAGAAAATAAACTCAACACTTTTAGACCATGCGCCATGGCGCAAAGCGGATTTTCCCGTCCTTAAATTAGCAAAAATGCGTTCTGACACGCCCTGGAAGCGTTTGTGCCCTGCGCTTTGCGCTCTGCGCATGGACCGTCAAAATTGGGCCCTTAGATGGAAACATTGTTTATTATTGTTATGCCGAGTTCAGACTGCATGATTTTCAAAGTAGTCGTGTCACAGATGTTTTCACACTGCTTGACTATCTGCACTAACGTTTCGTCGCTACTTTGTTTACACTGCAAGATGGATCGGCGACAGGGGCTTTCACATTGCATGACTTTACAATAGGAAGAATCACAGACAGCTTCGTCCAAACTACATCTCACAGCCAAAAACACGTCGTATATCTTTTATTATTAACTACATAACGAGAAAGAAGCCTTTAATCGGGTAAAAAATGTACATATTTGCTCACCTGGGTTTGAAATTAGCAATTTCTCAAACTCTCTTTTTTAACTTTCGGTATGACACGTCAAACACACACAGTGCTCCTGTCAAACTTCCACCAGTTTTTCTACCATTTCTTGGGTCCAAAATAAATCAAATAAAATAAAGCTTTTAACTTCTCCCCCAACTCCCCCTCCTCCCACTGGCCTGCAGGTACACACACGTACACACACGTACATACACACGCACGCACGCACGTGAATGCTGCTCTCATTGGCTGTTATTTTCAGTCAGAACTCAATTCACACGGCATGATTTGAATCGCCGACAGCTCCAAATATTCAGCACTGCAAATATCTCACAGGCATCGGCGACTCATTGGCGATTCTTTCAGATTGCGTCTTAGAGTTCACACTGTGTGACTGTCACTCACGTGCACGAGCAGCGATTTGCCTGTGATTTCAGGCATTTGTTGCCGATTTCTCAAAACCTGTCGGCGAGCCAAAATCAGGGCTAAAATCATGCAGTCTGAACTCAGCATTAGTTTAAAAATAAGATAACATATCACACTTTTAATGAGTCTGAAACCACCACATGTAAATAAAAATAAACATGTCTTGAAAATGGTTTAAAACAAACGACAAATTGACTAAATTATATAAATTAAATTACAGGTCAATTCAAAACACTAATAAAAAAAAATGATAAAAAGTCATAAAAAAGTGCATGTTATCTGTTAATTTACCTGTCAAAGATAACAATTAAGAAAATTTCTCAAATCTCAAAGCCGAAAGTCTGAGCTTTGTGTGCGTATTAAATACTCTATTTTATTTCATTTACTAAACATCAAACTTCTCCTGAAAGCTTTATAATATGCCCCAGATTCTAAACACAGGACTCTGTGTTTTAAACAGGCCAACAACCCAAAACATTACAAATTGGAGCATCTCTCTAAACCTCCAAACCAGTTTCATTAAGTGTTGTCACTATTATTCCTCCAGAAAATCCATCACTTTACAAAGCATTCAGAAACACTTCAGTCTGAATAAATGGCAAGATTTAGATCAGTAAAAGATCAGGAGATCAGGCAACCACACCTATTCAAATCACTGTCAGAGAAAGAAA